GTCGCCAGCGGCCCGCTGCCGCTTATGAGTCAGGCGTCCGATTATCTCGCAGTTAGGCTTGACTGAAAGGCGCTCCACTACCAGCTACGCGTTAACGCGCCGACAGACAAGCAACGCGGCTAAAGAACCACAACCAATGGCATGTCTACTAACTAATCGGTATCGTTGAATTTATCGCGGTAACTTTCTATTAAATTTCACCGTCTAACTACTCCTACTAGTAATAATCACGAGTTGAAGTAAGGGATACTTATAACCTGGGGAATCACAACCAATCCGAAGGGCAGTTGCGGTGCTGTTGAATGCTGCGCGAGATCTTTCTACCGTTTGAAAGCAGAGACCAGCAAACTAGGAAAGAACTACGAAAAAAGAGCAAGTTAGAAACGCCTTAGCTTTTCTGTACTTATGCACAGTTCAAACAGGGCAGCGGCACGTATACCGCGATCGAATGCAGTCTTAAGGTCAGGAGGGATGCAAAAAGAGTATTCCACTGTTGTGCACCTAGTCTAAATCAGCGTACCTAATTTTGGCACCAAAATCCTTCCGAGATCATTTCTTTTTTAAAAAAAAGGATAAGGGTGCAGCCTGAAGAGGCGAAAGAGAGTACGCCAGGTTAGGCAGGACATTGTTTAAAAGGTCATACTTCTTAAGACTAGCGACCTGAACAGCTCAGCACATCAAATTGTGTGTTGAGTTTGAACCTCCTGAGGTACTACACTTTTCACCACCAGACAACGAAAATTCCAACTAGCGAGAAAGGAGGATGATGGCAGGATTTCGATTGTAGGACATCGTGTGTGGTGATTCACAAGGCTAAATGCGGTAGACGCGATTAAAAATATATTGTGGCAAGTAACTACAGTCAGAAAAAGACTATAGGCCGCAACCCGAAGTCTGGAAGGCCATTCCCTACATAAAAAGAGTCTCCGAAGCTATCAGTCGACTGTTACAACCCGCTGGAGTAGGCATAGCCCATCGACCTCAGGTAACAATAGGCAGCCGTGTGATCAACCTAAAGAGACTGTTCCCTACTGAAACCTGCGCAGTTGTCTACAACATACGTTGCAACGATGAAGACTACAATTATTTTGGAGAAACAGTGAAAATTGCAGACCCGACTACACGAACACAAACCGGCGGCTCGGAGACTAGACGCAAACTCGCAGGTTGCAACACATCGAAGAGACCGGCCACAACTTCGATATTCAAGGAACGACCACTGTGACCCGAGGAACCTCGAAAGCGAAAAGACTGACGCTTGAGGCATGGTACTCAGATGCCAACTCCGTCAACAGGTATCCAGACCTTCTCGCGACCTACAAAGTCCAATGTCATTACGAGAGTAAAGGACAGAACAAGGTCAAATCGAGCTTGGGATTTTCAAACAAAGACGGCCCCGAGACAAAACGACCGGAAGAGGAGGCAGGATTACCAGCATCTATGGCGGAGGCGAAACGAAACTCTAACTGCCGTCAAGCTAGGCCAAAAATTCACATGAGGAACCAAGCAGCGAACTAAGAAAAATCGATCAGCTCACGGCCGACACGTATAGGCAAAACTTCAAATTTTTGATCGATAAAGTCAGTGTACGCTTTGACAAAGGAGAGCCGGCCCAGCTCTCCGAACCGTCAGCCAACAAATAAACTCACTCCGGTGAGCACAACATAACCTCTGGTTATTATGCCGGAATGCTGACTTTTGCAAACTTGAGTCTATAACTTGTTATTAGTATACGGCACATTGGTAATTATTAGGACGGTTTGGCAGATCTGATTATAACGTCGTGACTGGTGCAAAAATCGGATGAGGTGAGTTTGCAAGCGACCGAAAAAGTGCGTCAGGACTCTAGATAATTTCATAAGCGCCTATGGATATAGTCGACTTATACAGGGAAAGGTTAATTTAGCACGTTTACTACTTGACCATCTACAAAGCTGACGTAGTGACGGAACGAGGAGGCAGTTTCGATTCTGGTAGACAGGAAAATAATAACATGGTAAAAAAACAATAGTTCCCTAGGGCACTGGGTCATTTATTTTGGATAACAAGGCACACGAGTGTTCCAGTAGAACATTCCGAAACAAGTGAAGCAATGAGACTAGAACTTGCAAGTGGACTGAGTGCTAAGAGTGACGAGTAAATAATTCCGAATGTGGAAGCATTTTGCGACTGCGATAGTCGCGGACTACAGACTACGAGCTCCAGTCCTTCGCATCTAGGAAAGCCAAGCCCGGGTTAGTTTCTGATATTTGTTGCAAGTTGCTAAAATAGAAAATGAGCAGCAGTACAAAACAGCTGATTTATTCACTAAGATTTTCTACCCTCTTAATACCCCGTCCTACTGAGGTTCCACTATAAGGCTTTGATAATGAAGGGCTTGAGGACCGTGGTAGTTTGACAGCATCTAGGGCAAGTCTTGTCGAAATTTCGTCAGGGCTTAGTAGTCAAATTTGCTCGTTCCGCAAAGGCTTTCATAATTAGTGACTCCACTGATTCCATGCCACAGTTCAACCGAATCTCAGATAATCTCCCTCAAATGGAGTTG